GCCTCTGTTTGGCAAGTTGGATTATGAGCTTTTTTGACTATTTTAACCACAAAAGACAAAATAGACTATTTTAACCACAAAAAATAAAACATCACATCCAATCCATAATCATTACACTTTTCTCGCACAAAAAAAAATCGAAAAAGCCAAAAAGCCAAAAAGCCCTTCCCAAACCAAGCTTTTTAGCCCAGGCTAAAATAGCCAAAAAAATCAAAAAGCCAAAAAGCCAACCCACTTCGCAAACCAATCCTAAGAATCCAAACTTATTTGCCCAATTTTTTTGAATAAATAATTGTATGGTGAAAATTAAATTTGTATAATGTAAAGTAATCTGAATCACAAAATGATAATTTTAAATAATTTTTGAATAGTCAAGTCTAGATTCATAATATTATTGATATAAATATTTTGAGACAGAAATATGAGAATTTAGGGATAGAGATTTTCAAATCGTCATTAGATATTATTGAAAATTTTATATCTAAATTAGTCATCATAAAAAACAATTATTATAAAGTGGATGTCAAAATTTAAATTTGACCGACTATAAAAATAATAACAAAATAAAATAAAATAAATAAAAATTAGTTAGACAGAAAGTCTCAGGGAGAGGGTATAGTGAGTCGGTTGGCCACGTAAGGCCAATAATTTGGAGATCAGATACTTCATATTGACAAAGTGAGTTAATTAAAACACGGGAATTCCAATACTTGCGAAGGTTTCCCAAGTAATTTCATATCGAAAAATACGAGAATAAGAGGAATTCATTTGGTCAAGTTTGCCACGCAAAAAATCATAATCGTTATCTACAGTTGTTTTAAACTTATTTATACTATCTTCCTCAAAAAATAAAAAATAAAAAAAACTTATTTACTTATTTAATTTAAAATTTTAGATTGGTTTGAGAATAGATTATTTTTTTATATTTTTTCTAAAATATGAAAAAAAAAAAAAAAAACTAATATATTTAGGATGATTTTTTAAATTTTTTTATAAAATAAAAAAAGGAGCAAAAAATAGAAAGAAAAAAATCTTTACTTTTTAATATATTTGTTTAGCTTTTTAATATTTTTAATAACTTTTTGATTTCTTAACTATTATAGGAGTTGCTTTAATTTACATTTGCTAAAAACTTTAAAACAAATTATGTATTTTTATAAAAATGTCTCTTAAATTTTCTAGGACTTTTGGATACACAATTCTGAAACAGGATTTTCGTGCAAATTTCCCTTTATTTTATTTTTCTATTTTTTTCTGTTATTTTATTTTGAGAAGATTTGTTTGGGATGTCCTAAATAAATGCACTTTTTGAATTTTTAGACTAAAAAATCAAGGAAAAAAATATGATTATTTGGGTTAATTTTTTGACTTTTTATGAAAAAATATGTATTAAAAAATTGTATAAATTAGTGTATAGGGAAAAATTAAGATTGAGAGTTGTGCAGCCGTAATTTTTTATTTTTGATGAATAGTGATAACTTTTTGAGTAACTTTTTGACTTTTTGACCACATGCCAAATTTGACCTAAATACGATTGGCGGCAAAAGAGACGTTTGTGAACAAAGAAATTACAGTGAACCTACAAGTGTGAAAGGCCAAAATAATAACACAGTTTAACAAGTTTGATTTGTCATCATGAAGACTTTGCTGTGCAAAGGCAAACAAAAAAAAACTTCTTTCTTCCCTCTCTCCCTCTCTCTCAACTGTCTCATTCACATACTAACCAATGCACATACGGGGGCTATAGGAATATCTTATATATATATACACACACACACACACACACAGGGAAATTGGATATTGTGTGAGTTCAAAGTCTTTATATCTTCTTCTATCGTGTACTCTCTGCTTTTGAAGAGCCATGGCACCTCAAGCTCCAACTGATCACAACTCTAACCCCAACAACGTAAGTCTCTGTGTGTGTGTGTGTGTTTATGTGCATATCTATCTATCTAGCCTATTATATAAAATCTACACGAGTACACATATCACATTGATTTGATTTTCGAAAATACCCACAAGAGCAAATTGCATAAATAAGAAACAGTTATGTTATAAATTAAATAATAATTAAAAAAAACTCTCACTCCTATAATTTTAAATTATTTTTAAAATTTTAATATAATATATAATATTTTTAAAATTTTTGGGGTGCGGCCCCCCCTAGATCCATCATTGCTTGTATGTATATGCATGATGCTCGCATGCTCTCTCTCTCTCTCCCTCATTCTCTCATGTTTCTGATCCTCATATGCTCCAAATTTGAGATGTGATATGATAATGATAATGCTCCAAATTAGAGAATAGAGATGTGAGATGATAATGCTTTGTTTCTGCAAATGAAGTTACGGGTGTCTGATCCTCATTTGCTTCAAATTTGGAGTTCAATCTAGCAATTTGTTTAGTCCACAGTTTCCCAGAACTGCGCGGGTGTCAGTTTTGTGAACTCGATTTGCAAGAATTAGTGTTCAGTTTTTTGACCTCTCCTTTCTCTCTCTTTCTCCAAGAAAATTAAGATAACAAAATAAAATAAGGTTATCTAACTAAGATTTATTTGTATGTACATATAGGGACGTGGTGAACAAGTATGCGAGTGACAGTCTGTTCAATCTATTACTGTAAGCTTATGGACTTTGCTTAAGCAACATATTTATCTTACCCAGAAAATTACATACTCGCTAAAGAAAAGTTGGTAAATTTTGTTTGTTTTACAAAACGTTACCATGAAGCACAAAACTGTAGCATATGACTTGGTTAGCAGTCAAATTTTGCCTGCTTTTGGTGTAGTGTTCGTGATCTTCTAAGTCCAACACGTTAATTGGTGATTGGAACACATGAAATAAGCAGAAAAATTGCTCTGCCACCAAACATGTGTTACAGTCTCTGCCTAAGAATACCCTATATCATGCATCAGTATGGCGACCTACTCAAAGACCAACACACTAACAATTAAATATTAATTCGATATTGGTTGGGATATTCAAGATGATTTTAACAAAGGCCTAAATTAATTCATTTCAATAACAAATGCTCCGAACATACTTCTTTGGTACTTAGAGGATGGCAACAGCTAAAATTCATCGATCTTTATTTACCGCTAATTACTTTCATGTACTCGGTTGTGGTAGAATGTTCTGTTACCTTAAGGTTCCTTTGCGATTTAAACCCCATACCATGTACTATTTATTCAATGATGCGTTAGAATAGACTTTTAACTCAAAATAATATATATAAATGATTCTATATCCCATTAATTTACACAAAAAGTTTGCTTAAGTATACCCAAGTAATTACCTAATGGACTATTAATCAGATTGCATTCAGATTTGTCACTATTTTAGTTTCTTAAGTCTGCTATTGAAGAGAACCAAAGGGCTGTAATGGTTTTGCTCACCAGCTAAGCATTCCCCCCCCTTCAGTGATCCCAACTTTTCATAATCTTCCTCAAAATATAAACTATTCTAATTATTTTCTTCCATGTTTCTTATAATTTGCTTCTTAGTTGCATTTACTACGGACAATATTGTGCAACTTTGATTCTCTTTTCTTCTTCTTCTCCTTCTTCTTTATTTGATTTTTTTTTTTTATTCAATATTAGGTATATTCTTTTCTTTGTGAGATTAGCTGGAATGCTATGTGTTGTGACTCTTCACAGAGTGACAACGCGGTCTGAGAGGAGAAAGCAATCGACGCTTTGGCTTCCACTTCTTTCAGGATGAATCGGTGGTACTCAGCTTTCCACAATGTCACTATGGCCATGGTTGGGCTGGAGTTCTGGTTCCCTGGCGGCATGGCCAGAGCTAGGTGGTATGCCGGCCCCTAACAATTGTTTTTATTCATTAATATATAACTCAATCCTTTATTAGTGAAAATGTTTACAATGGAATTGATTATTTGCGTTCAGTTTAAATTTATGGAGGATAACATTGACTGGGTAACTATTTAACAGCACATGTTATTGAATTGTTTTTTTATACCTTTTCCATTCTATAAATATTCTCTTGAAGGGTTCCAATTTCTTTGACTCTACTTTTTACCATATTCTATTCTTAAAAAAAAAAAAAACAGATTCTATCAATTGAGGCATATGGCTTTATTATAATAACCAATTTCATTACTTTCAAGAAACAAAAATTGTAATTTCCAAGCATCTACAAGTAGGTGATGCTATATCTTTCTTGATTTCAGGTGGTCCTGTGTGTTTCTGCACTCGTAATATTATGGGTTGTCACTTTATACCCTTTGGCAAAGGCTAGAATGTACTGGAAACGTTCGTAAGTACCTGGTGGTCAGATGCTTTGGTAGAAGTCGTTCTGATACTGTGGTGCCCAACAGCTTATTGTTGAAATCAGCTGGAACATATCTATTATGGTCACTGGGGAAAGTCCTAAAGAATTCCCGATGTGGTCTGTGCAAGGGCTGCTCCATATACGCTGACTCACTTCTCAGATTTTTCCTCTGTCCTTTTCGTTGTTCCCATTTCCGCTTCAACTTCATCCTGGTGTGTCTACTTGGCCTGAGCAGTGCTGTCCTTGAGAGTACATGCCCTTTCTTTTCTCTGCTTTTTCATTATTGTTTGCTAGCGTGGAAACTTTGAAGTGTATGTCTAAATAAAAAAGCAGGAAAATAATCAGAGGACAAAAATACAAAAGATCAAATAATGTTCAACACTAGTAGTTGCCATTGACTGGCTAAGAAAGATGGACTGTTCTAAGAATGTTATGTGTTGCGTCCACACGATACAACACCTTGTCGGACACTTCCAATACTTGGCATACATAAAACATTATAACAAGTTTGAATATTTAACTTGGAATCCAGTGTAAACAAACATTTAATTATACTCCTTCTTTAGACTTCAATTATTATATTTGACTAAGATGTTCATATAATATTATCTTCTTTTTATTTATTATATATAAAATTAACTTATATTTTGCATGTATTTCTCACGTGTCATATCTTACATTTTGTAAAAATTCATGTGTCGTGTCTGTGTCATGGATGTTCTTCTTGTGATTGAACGGATTAGTAGGCAGAGAAATGCTGCAATACAGGAGGAAAACCCTTCTTCTCATAGTTCAATGTTTAAATTGAATGGCAAGACTAGCATGTTTGAGCTTTAATGTTGTCTGTCCTACAGTTACTCTACCATGCTTGGGCTGCTTCTCTGACAAGGGTGTGCAACCGCATGCTGAATATGGATACAAAGCTAAGACAACAGTAGGAACAGTTTTTAACTTCTTCAGTGCCTTGGGTGAAGTGGCTTTTGCCTATGCGCGGTACAATGTGGTCTTGGAGATATCAAGCGACAATCCTTCTACACCTGAGAAGCTTTCAAGGGCCCTAGTGGAAGGAGTGATAGTTGCTACTAGTTGTGGCTTTGACTTCCCCGTCTCTCTAATTGGAGTATTTGGTATTGGGACAAAGTTGGAGCGAATCCTCATCCACATTAGAGACTCTTGGTCTTGCACTGGGCTAACTTGTTTGTCGTTATTCATGGTTTTGGAGTATTCATGATGCAGCCAAACTCTATTTGAGTTAGTTGTTTCAAAACGATTCATCATATTGATCAGTTCCGATGTATGTTTCTGTTTCTAATTTTTTGTTATTTCTTTGTTTTAGATTTATGCTAATGCCAGCTTTTTTGACATGTTATAAACCGCTCTTGGTAAAAATTGGCATTTCAGCCACATGAGCTTCGCTTTATTACACGATTATTGTTGGTAACGGAATTGTATCTTTATTCAATTTATGCGCATTATATTGAATAATTTGTGATTTCTCGAGTTGACAATTACTTTCTTTGAATTAAAGTTAATGTAATTTGTCTTTTTCTTGCAGGCATTTGACATGTTTGTTGCCATTACCTTCCCTTTCTTTAGTGGTCTTCTAGGATTCTTTGGAGGATTTGCATTTGCCCCAACAACATACTTTGTAAGCAACTATCTGACTCTTTGTTATTGAATTGACCTTGTTCAGTGCAGTTTATGAGGGATGCTTATAGCTTCTTTTTTTTTTAATTTTATTTTAGGAATATGTGCCAAAATAAATAAATAAAGCAAGTTATAAAAAGGGTGTCATTTAGGCAGTTGACCAAATGGTGTTTCTTTCTTATTTTGCTTTTTTTTTTTTTTTTGATTGGCACCGGGGTATTCGGATCAAAACCCGACTAATCCCCAGGAGTGCACAAGCCCTCGGCAAAGATTTTTCCTCAAGTGCATCACGGTTAATTCAAGTGTTTTCCTCTAGTTCGATGACCTCAAGGAATTGTTAGCACCTAAGAGGTTTCAATTCCTGAACCTTCGAGAGAGCACACCCCCAAGACCCAAGGCCTTGCCACCAAGCCAACCCCTTGGGGTTCAAATGGTGTTTCTATAATTTTTTAAAGCTTAAGCTGAAGGAGGGAGATAATAACTTTCTTTTTTGTTCCTTTTTTTAAGTGCGATATCTTTAACTTGTGTTTCGATAATCAACTTTTTTTTTTTTCTTTCTTTTAAATAAGAATAATATTATTAAAGAAGCATCAAGATGATGCAAAGAACCCAATAACTACAATCAATGAACAAATAAAGACTCAATAATTGTCAGCTTTTAACTTGGCAAACTGCATCAAACCGGGTTTAGTATGGTTTATACAACAAAGATGATATAATTGTTTAAATATACTGTAATTGTTTTTCTTTCTGCAGCCGCCTTGCGTCATGTGGCTTGCCAGCAAGAAACCAGAGAAGTTTAGCTTGTCTTGGCTTATTAACTGGGTATGACTCTGACTTAAAACTTTGCATTGATTTCATTCTTTACCTTACGCTTGGAAGTTTAAAGCTAAATTAATTTTGATTTGGCTTCATCAATTTTCAGATATGCATTATACTGGGTGTTCTTTTGATGATTGTGTCACCTATTGGAGGGCTAAGGCAAATTATAATTCAAGCAAAGGGCTATCAATTCTACTCTTAGGTCTTAATCAAATCGTCCCACACCAAGAAGAATTGTCACAAATAGTGGAGAAACGAAAATCACAATGATACTTGCAATGGCCATGGAAAAATGGCAGCAACTCATGAAGTAACGAATGGGACCTCAAAAAGAGAATATTGCCCTTGGAACCAATAGAAAGCTTCCTAGAGACCTTCATTATTTACACTTATCATTAAATGGTGTGCATATGTATGTCACTTTTCATGTTTATTTTTTTCTCTAAAGCTTCATGTTATTTTTTTGAAGTTTACTATCAGTGGTGAGATAGAAGTAGATTCTATAATAATTAGTGCAATATTGTGAGAATAAAATTCAATATTAAATGCTTTCATACATTTTTTTGCAGAAACTACATCTCTTGCACAATTCTAATTATGTCTCCCCCTGTTGAGATATCAAGTTTTAATACCTATGGCCACATTAGTGTCTCGGGGAACTTTGGTTTCATAATAAAATTGTGTTACAGACGGGTCTTATCAAGTGGGAAACAAGTAAGGCAAAAAAATTGTTCCTTACGAGAAAATGTGGCTTGAAAAGAGTCAGATGATTATGCATACTGCTCTGTTTGGAATATCAATGATGTCAATCATGTGGTGTTCCAAGGACAACAAAGGTACTTGAAGTCCATGGTTGCCAATATAAGAAACAAAAACACACAATCAAAGAAACAGGAAACGGAAATGTGAAACATGGTCCAAAAATAGCTAGGTGATTTAAGATAAAAGAATGAATTTAACATTTACAAAATAAACTATTAAGAACTTTAAAAATAGCAATATGAAGATTAGAATACTTTCATAATCAATTACATAACTATTCCCTAGAAAAGCACAAATCTTAAGTGGATACTTCACTATGAAATGACCAAATAGAGGAAATATAGGAAAACCAACCAGAATTGTAACTGGAGCTGGCTGAACTGATACATGTGTTGCTTTTACAGCCTGTATCTTTTTCTTTCTCTACTGGACTTGGCTCGAGACAGGAGGCTCATTCACATCAATATCAATATTGTAAATCCATACAAATGTACATTATATAAGGCGATATATCAAATATGGTTTGAGATGCAGTAAAGATGCCTGCAATTTTGGTAGCAACCAAATAGAATGGCTAATAACCTTTGCACAAAAATTGCATGGATAAATCACTAAGCCATGATCTGTTTAGTACCTGCAACAGATATGAATAGCGCATTAATTATGATAAACCATACTTGTTTAACCGAAGGCATTCATCTTCATTTTCACAAGGGAATATTGCATCAAAGGTAAAATACCTCTATTTCACAGGGTTTGGCTTTTGCTTAGTTCTTTCGTATTTCTCGTAAATAGTCGTCTAGAAGCTTCCGTAAAATGAACAAGGTATTATCACTGAGATCATCAATATAAACTTCAATCTCATCCTCTCTAGCTTCCCATCCATTTGAAATCTGATCCCTCACAAATTCAAAAATATTGTCTGGCAACTCTCCCAGCAAAGCCTCAAAGTCTCTACTTAACTTATGTTTTTCCTCATATGTCATTATTCTCTTTGCATGGCCAGGCATAGCTTTATGTTGCGGTGAAGTAAGTTTTCTTTTTTTTGATGGAGGCATTGCCTTAATAGTCCCCTTTTCTTCATGTACGTCTGATTTTTCTGGTAATGGCTGGGAATCCTTCGGAAGTTTATTCACAATAACTTTCCATCTTGCTTCAAAAAATTTACTCAAAGTATCAGCAATGATGTGGAAATCATTTCCTGGTGGATTGTAGGTCATAGCATTAGAGAAAGTTAGTCTGACATCAGCTACAAATTCCAACGCACTTGAGTACTCACTGGAAGCAATCTTGCTCTTTATTGTCCCCAAATCCATTGGATGCTTTATAACAGTCAAATAATCAGGAATGTTCAACTTTACTACATCAACGGGAGTGTTAAAAACCCAACCATACTGATGTTGCATCAATTTTTTTAATACTGTCTTGCACTGTTCAATCAAAATTGCACTCAAAGTGCTTGATGCCCAACTTGCAGACACAAACCTTCCTGAAGTACCACGATTCCAGCCACGCCTCTTGCAGCCTTTCTTCCCTGGCCCAGAAGTCAACCCTTCCGATTTCTTGAAGTTCTCTGCTGAATACCCAATTAATAATGCTTCAGAGTGTTCAATCAAAATTGCATTCAAAGTGCTTGGTGCTGATGCCTGACTTGCAGACTCAAACCTTCCTGAAGTACCACTATCACCTGCAGGGTTTACTTTCTCTATCGAAGGCCCATTTTGTGTGTTGCTACAACTAAGAACATCACTTGATGACAATAGTGCAACAACATTTGTTCTTTGCATCTTCTCTCTTCTGGAGAATCTGCGAATCTGTTTGACTTCAACTCTCAATCTTTTAGTTTTGGATTGTGAGGTGAGAAAAGAAAGGAACTGATTATAGTTTCTCACCTAGCTGAGAGAAGAAAAGAAATTATTGTGGCTTCTCCTCTTCTCGTCTTCTTGTTTGGATGAACATTGTTTAAAAGAGGATACATGTATCTTTTTATTTTATTTGTTTTGCATTTAGAGGGGCAATTTAGGTATTATAAATTTTTTATAAAGAGTAATTTTGGTTTCTCACTACTTTGGTGAGAAACAACTTAAATTTTGAGTGATTTATCTTTCTCACTATTTCTCTTCCTTTCTCACCATTTTTCACCTCATTAATTATCCAAACAAGTGATGAGAAACCTCATTCTCTCCATTTTCTTTCTTTTCTCACCAAACCTCTCCATCCAAACGGTAAATCCTTTCTCTTGGAAGGTGATACTTTTTAGAGACACCAAAACCATGGCAAGTAGCAAAATTCAAATGGATGCATTTCCTCCTTGGACCACTTGAATCCTTCGAAGTATCTATGTCAACATGCCTTGAGCTATCCGATTCTTAATCAGGGAGTTAAATCAAAAAAATACCCTCCACGGTACCAATCCTTTCTTGACATCATCCACACGTAGCATGATTCTCAGACCGCTTATGTTCCCTTCTATCCAATATGTAACATAAATTGCTTACTTCTGCAAATTTTAATTGCGGGAAGTTAATTTCCTAGACCTGCACACTTTTTATACATCATAATAATATACATAAGAACATATACACATATTTTAATATTTAATTTAGAGTGCTACATTCGAACCCTATATTTCTGTTCCTTCTTTTCTTCTGTCTCCCCGTTTTTTAATAAGAAATCAGTAAAAATGATTCACATTCTCTAATGTATATATTCTTTTGCAACTAGAGTCATTAATACAGGTTCTGTTAACTTGATTAACTATTGTATATTCTTCAATAAGTTCAGCATTCATATTAAAGTAAAAACCCAACGAATCAAAAAAGTAGGTTTCAAGTACAAACGCAATTTCTGTTCAAAAAGAAGTACAAACGCAATTTATATCGAAGAGTGAAAAACAAAAAAGACATTATTGTGGTTTCTCATCTATATGAGAAAAGAAAAAAAGTGATTATGTTTTCTCGTTATCATGTTTGGATGAGTGAAATATTCTTCCATTGCATTTTAAGGGACAATCTAGATATTATAAATATTTTACAGCCAATCAACTTGTATCTCACCAAATCTCACCATTTTAGTGAGAAATGAAATAGGTTTGGTAAGAGATTTCTCTTTGGGCAAATTACAAATTACATTTGTAGTCTTTCTATTTTTGCTCTTGTGTCATTTTGGTCTCTATAATTTCAATTGGCTCAATTTTGACCTTGAATTTTAAGTTTGTCTCAATTAGTCCAATTTATCACAAATGTTAGCATTTTTTAATAGAAAATACATACATAAGTG